TTAGAGTGCTCTAATTGAAAGGAAAAGTTACAAATGATAAATGTTACTGCGACTAACCAAGTTTTCCATGGTACAAAGCTTATGTAAGAAACTATAATTCTAAAGAAAAGATGATAAAAGAGTTAAACATAACAGTTCAGAGTCTGCTATACTTATAAGGGGAACAACGAACGTAAAAAAAACATAGAACGTAATTCTCTATTTAACTTAACTTATTAACACGAAGGGCCTGTTTCATATGATCATCGTAATGCTTATGTAGGGCGCCCTCAGTACGAAATAATACCTGACAAATCCAGCAGCTGAACTGTCCGCCCAAGTGTACTTTGTTGTGACAGCGAAGGTTTCCTGCTTGCCTAAAGCACTTGTCGCAAACCTTGCACTGAAAAGGCTTTTCTCCAGTATGTACCCTGTGATGTGTTTGAAGCGTTTCTGCTTGGCTAAAGCACTTGCTGCAAATCTTGCACTTAAAAGGCTTTTCTCTAGTATGTACCCTGTGATGTTTACGAAGGTTTCTTGCGACACTAAAGCACTTATCGCAAACCTTGCATTGAAAAGGCTTTTCTCCAGTATGTACCCTGTGATGGCTACAAAGGTTTCCTGCTCGGCTAAAGCACTTAACTTGCAGCAAATTTTGCACTTAAAAGGCTTTTCTCCACTATGTACCTTGTGATGTTTACGGAGGTTTTCTGCCTGGCTAAAGCAATTATTGCAACCCTTGCGTTGAAGAGGCTTTTCTCCAGTATGTAACCTGTGATGTTTGCGAAAGTCTCCTGCGTCACTAAAGCACTTATCGCAAACCTTGCACTGAAAAGGCTTTTCTCCAGTATGTACCCTGTGATGTCTACGAAGGTTTCCAGTTTGGCTAAAGCATTTGCTGTAAACCTTGCACTTAAAAGGCTTTTCTTCTTCATGAAACATCTCGCCTTAAGCCTTTTTACTGACTTTCTCTGCAACAGAATAACAAAAGAGTATTCAAATTCCACTAAAAGTTGTCTTACTTTCAAAAAGCACGTTTGCCCTTGGATTATGCAAACTACCACGAATGAATTGATGAGATATTCTGAGGGTGCACATGTAGACAGAAGTTGTTTATCGGAACCCTAAAGTGATTCATTTAACGACATACTGTCACAGCTACCCAGTATTCAAGCCATAATGGAGAAAGGAGCATTAATTTCTTTTCGCCGGTATTAGTAAGTAATCAGTGCTTCATTTCTTTACTATTCCTTTGAAGTCCTGTAACAGACCACTCAAACAATATATCAAGCTACAGGCTTGACCCATTCCAGCAAACACCGTACATAAAACATAATGAGCCTATTCTTTAGGCTCATTAATGGAGCCTAAAGAATATACCAATAGAGGAACAGTGAGGTTCTTGAGCTAGCCCCTATAAGTTATCATTATTACTACCATTGTTATAATAATCGTTACTATAATTATTATTAGGTACAATGTATATATGAAGTTCATATATTTTGAACTGCGGTATTAGATACGTATGATGCACGATCCTCGCAGTAGAGAGCGCTATTTATGCAATAGCGAAAATCAGACCTGAAAAAAATCAGGCCTGTACGGGATTCGAACCACTGACCTCTGCGATACTAGTGCAGCGGTCTACCAATTGAGCTAACTGGGAGCAGGCCGTTAAGTTGATTCGTAATAAAGGCCTGATTTTTTTCAGGTCTGATTTTCGCTATTGCATAAATAGCGCTCTCTACTGCGAGGATCGTGCATCATACATAATTATTATTATTGTTATTGTTAATATGATTATTTGTTACCAATTGATTATTAATGGTTGAGTGTCAGTTAATCACTGCATTCTTGAGTCATCTTTACCTCGTAGAACAAGAGAGTTTTAAGTGTGGGATGCGGCAGCAGTAGCCATTATTATGCAGTCTCAACTGCCTATTTTTTTTAAGGTGACCATTTTTCAGTTGGAGCCCTGGATTAGATGAGTCTGCTCAATTATCAGTTTACAGTTGAAGAAACAAGATTGTTTCATCAGAGTAGGGATTAAAAACAGGCTCTTAGGATGGTTCTGCATAGAGCAGTTATTGCTTTTCATCGGAAGTGGACAGTTGTTGAGCTTTTTTTTAACTAGAGACCTTAAGATTTGAGGACGTCACCCGTCTAGGACGCCACCGGAAGTTCGTTTTCACCTAAAAGTGACATTGCGCATGTCTTCGTGTGAATGGGACGGCGTTTCACAGGTGGTGATTACGCCATTTTTCAAATCTTGCGTCGTGCACAAAACGTGAGTATGTGTTTGGTTTTGGAGCTGAAATTATTCATTTCTTTCGCCGTTTTCGCTGTTATTTTGTATAATCTGTTGTTAACAGTGCTTGTTTTTTCAGAGATAGACGATGGATTCCAGGTCCGAGTAAGTAGACTCCACATGTTTTCCTTATAAAGAAAATGGAAAATTTTATCATGTTGAGCATCAATTTATCATGTCATGTGAGAGGTCGGCTGATGTAATTAGAGTGTAGTTATAATCAGAAGTCAAACTCGCAATTTCTGCAGCGAGCCTAATCAAAAGTTTTCGAGCGCTGTGATCTTTCTTTTGAAGTCTCGATACATTTTGCTCCTGTTTGCCATGTTTTACCGATTTATTCATGAATTGGTAATTTACTGGTTACTCTTATGCCGTTTCCGCGACTTGAGAACAGATATATCGGAGATTCTTGTTTTCTCGGCTCACCTTTAAAGTGATTTGAGTCTCAAGTAGTTAAGACTGTCATATTTATTATCCATGCAAGTCTCATCCCACTACAAAGAATACTCATTTTGAAAGCCTCCATTCCATTAATTTTTTTATACTTTATCAGATACCAGCTAAGTTCAGGATTTTAATTATATTTCGTCAGGTAAGCCAAGAACATCAACCAAGAGAGGGATGTCGTATTTTTCGAAGCGAAAATCTGTCTTACACTCAGTCTCACTTCTATCTTGCAATGTAAATCTTTCATAATTCCAATAAAGATAATGTGCATTTTTCGACTTGTTAACATCATGCAACAACAGAAATTCATCCTCATTGATGATTTCCGGATTGTGTTGTGCGGGAGGTCGAGGGTTTGAGCCCCGGCCGGACCAATACTCATGGTCTTAAAATAACTGAGGAGAATTTGCTACGTTTCTATGATATCAAGATATAGATACATATTCTAGTCTTCTCGGATAAGGACGAATAAACCGTAGGCCCCGTCTCCTGCAGGGTTAGGGGTAGGAGACGTTAATTTCCCACGCACGAGATTACTGTGTGGTGGATGTCCTCCCATAGGGTGGGATGGGCGGGAAGGTGAGATCGTGACATGGACTGAAGTGGCTGCCAGACGCGCCTAATAATGCTGACGTCCGATCTCACCTTATCATTGTAATTGTTAACTAAACACATCTGATGTTTAGATTGCTCAGACCTTTACCTTTACCTTTACTGTGCATTGATTATTCATACTTTCGTCTACTCGTCTTTTGTTGGCTGTGGAGGCTTTAATCACACTTTAGACGGGTTTACCTCGATAAAGTGATTTTCATAAGGAAGATTCTTTCACCAAAAGTTTAATTTCTGTTTTATTTTGTTTACTTTGCGTAAATTTTGGTTTCCGAGGCAAAAGAGAAAGGCGTGTTCATCCAGAACAAACTTTGCCTCTTCATAGAAGGTATGATAAAAATGATTCGTTTCTGCTGGCAAACATGTTATCTGTTTTTGTAATTTATTGCCAATGTTTGACAAGACTGAGATGGCTCTTCCTTAGGCCTTAAGGAAGTAAAGTTTGAAAGCTTTTTCTTGGTAAGGTCTACCAAGAAAAATATTCGTGTTTTGCAGTTAACGTGCTTTTCTGATCGGGAAGCTATTTTTGAAATTGGGGCCTGGAAACCTGATTTGTATAATTTACACTGCGCCAGTACATGTCTGGTTAAATTTTCGGTCTCTTTCTTAGGAATTGAAGGATGGTACTTTTGTGAGGCACATTTAATTGACAAAGACAAGAAGGAAGGGACACAAAAAATAGAATCATTTTCAATAACTTTCTAAGAAATATTTTTTTTTTCGGAAATGATGTTGTTTACTGCCTGGTTGGTAACAAGATCGTCTTTACATAGGTCACTACTTTTGAGCCATCTATCTGAGTCAAGTGAAACCTTTGATTCGGGAGTGAAATATTTCTGAGGGTGATTGTATCTTCCTTCAATCGGCCTTGTAGATTACGATCCGTAGGGAAACAGAAATGACTTGAAATGTAAGAGTCCAATCGTGACAATCCAGAAGTTCCTGCTCAAGTAAGTGACACCTCAAATTTGATTAACCTGATTTGCTGAAAAGCTTAGCGAAAAAGTTTGAAAATATCCCTTAACTCAAGTTGGATAAAGCGAACTACGAATATCTCTATCAAATCTTAGTATTAGTTACTTTTCATGACCTGTTATGGAGAGACATTCTAAGCTGAAAATTTTAATTTTCCACTGTGCACTCAGAGAAATTTGTAATTAAATGTCTGAAGTATTCTGGGATTGCCATGGTTTTACTTTCTGCGTTTTGTGATTGGGCTAGAAAACTCAGGCCACCCTCTCAGCCAATCGGATGCAGAGCTAAAATGCGTTCTCATTGTCGTTTCCCGCGTTTCAAGCTGCTTGCTTTCACTTTGAGTCCCCATTGGTTGATGATACTGACGGGCCGAAATGATAAATTTTGTTTGGTTTCTCTACCCTTAATGGTAAACTGTTCCATGACTAGTCTCAGTTGATAAGTTTTATCAGCACATGTCCGGTGTAAAGTTTATGGTTGAGAAGGGATTGCAGAAGTGGACTGGGTAATCGGTTATTTCGAAATTAAATAAGACAATTGTCGCCTTCAGTGATTTTAAAAGATATGCCGTTTTGGTGTTTTGACATATGATAAAAGAAAACGGTTGACTTAACTTTTTATTTCGGGCGACTTGACTTAGGTTCTAGTCGACATGACATCGGGCGAGATAACTTTAAAGCGACTGCTTAGCTAGCGGTTTCCTGTGGACACCGCGGAAATACGTTTTTTAGGGCACGATACAGTATTTTACTGGTCAGCGGACACCTCAATGAAACCATTTATTTTACTTTATTTTTTTGCTTTTTCTTTTCTTTCTTTACTATCTTAATGCCATCTGCAACATAAAATGAATGCTGCGCTAAGATCCAATAGAACCAATGACGTTACATGTTGGGAGTTCATCTTTAAAAGAATATCATTCATTACTCTCAGTAATGCAGTCTCAGTACTGTGGTATTTTCTATATGCAGACTGGAATAAGGGATAAATGCTATTTGCCATCATATGTTCATGCAACTATTGAAGACAGCTCTTTCAGTAAGTTTTGACACACACTGAAGATTACTGACTGGCCTATAGTTCTTAAATACAAGATCAAGACCGGTCTTCTTTAATAACGGATTAACCAGTGCACATTTCCAGTTTAATGCGAACGAACCAGACTCCAGGGATAGATTAATGACTTTGGTAATAACTGGAAGAAGCACGTCAATTCAGTTAATCACCAAAGACGTTGGCATGGGATCCAAAATACAACTTTTCTTGGGAAAACCTTCAATGAGTTTACACACATCTCCTTCTGACAATGGTTTAAAATGATCCGTCAAAGCACCAGACTATGATTTAGTATCATCGCTACAAACTTCTAATAAAGCTGAAGATGTTAATTTATCAAGCTTTGTGAGAATCGTTCTGATCTTATCAATAAAGAACGTGCCCATCTCATTGGCAAGAGTTAATAAATTATTTGATAGTGGAAAAGGAACAACATGATCATGCTTCAGTAGTTTCTTAGTTGCCGTGAACAAATCCCTCGGATTGGAACTGTTCTTATCGATCAATTCCTTAAAAAAATTTACGACACGCAGTATTCAATACAATAAATGGAATACGAAAGTCTACGTTCGACATTTTTTTTATCGTCAACCGTTAAATAAGCATGCCAATGTTAGCCGTCAAAGGTCTCAGATATCCTAATTAAGAACTAAACGATTGCCTTAATTAGGTCAAGTTCTATTAAATTAAAAACGCATTTTCATCCACATTGTTGTGGCTCATTTCAAAATTACTCCCCTTATAAGCCCCCGGGATATAAGCCCCTCTGTGCATAAGCCCACCCAAAACCCCTTACAAAGTTGTGTTGGCCCAAGGCTGATAACCGGAATTTTACAGTATAAAAGTATGAAAGATGAAAATGTTAATTTTCCACTGTGCAGTCAAAGAAATTTTCAACGGAGTGTCTGAAGAATTCTGGGATTGCTGTAGTTTTACTTTCTTCGCTTTGTTATTAGTCTACAAAACTTGGGCTACCTTCTCAACCAATCAGATGTAGAGGTAAAAACAATCGCAACGTTCTCATTCGCGTTTCCCGCGTTTCAAAATGCATGCCTTCATTTCGAGTCCTCATTGGTTGGTAATGATATCGGTCTTTATATTGACGGGTCACTGTGATAAATTTGGTTTTGGTTTTTCTACACTTAATGGTAAACTGTTCCATGACTATATAATTTGAATATATCAACAAAGTTGAAATGGTAAAGTGGCCACCGTTACAGTTGTAAAAGCTGACGTTTTGAGCGTTAGCCCTTCGTCGGAGCGAATAGAGGAATTGTGGGTTGTGTGTGCTTTTAAAGGCAGAAAATGGAGCTACGTGATTGGTGGGAACATGGCACCGAGAAAAATGTTACCGGCCGCGGAAGGAGAGGTCGAAATCATTTACATTGAAAGCAAACATACAAGCAACATGGCGGACCAAAACGAACCTCGTGCGTTTATTTTTTTCTTTTTGCCATGGCAACTCGTGTCAAATACGTTTACATGGGGGGGGGGGAGGGGTGGTGTCCGTTTTCTCAACTTATCCTTAACAAAAACACGTCATGATAAAAACTGGTCATGATAAAAGAGTTAAACAGAACAGTTCAGAGCCTGCTGTACTTAAGAGGAGAACAGCACCAAACTCTGTCTCTAAAACGTAATACTCTTTGTAACTTAGCTCATGGTACGAAGAGCTTGTTTCATATGATCATTGTAATGCTTATGTAGGGCGCCCTCAGTGCGGAATAACACCTGACAAATCCAGCAGCTGAACTCTCCGCTCAAGTGTACTTTGTTATGACGGTGAACGCTTTCTGCTTGGCTAAAGCACTTGTCGCAAACCTTGCACTGAAAAGGCTTTTCTCCAGTATGTACCCTGTTATGACGGCGAAGGCTTCCTGCATGGCTAAAGCACTTGTCGCAAACCTCGCAATGATAAGGTTTTACTCCACTATGTACCCTGTGATGTAGACGGAGGTTATCTTCTCGGCTAAAGCACTTTCCGCAATCCTTGCAGTGGAAAGGTTTTTCTCCGGTATGTACCCTGTCATGTTGTCGAAGTTTTCCCGATTCGTTAAAGCACTTTCCACAAACCTTGCACTTAAAAGGCTTTTCTTCAGTGTGTATCCTGTGATGCCTTCGAAGGCTTCCTGCTTCGGTAAAACATTTGCTGCAAACCTCACACTTAAAAGGCTTTTCACTAGGATGTTCTTGGTTCTGACGGCGAAGGCTTCCTGCTTGGCTTGAGGGTTTGTTACATACCTTGCTTTTAATGGGCCTTTCATCCGAATGAACCTTCATATGTTCGCGAAGTTTATCTGCTCTTTCAAAACACTTGTCACAATGGAAGCAATTAAATATCTCATTACCATACCCATCTTTGCTAGCTTTATGAGACATCGCACTTAACTCTTTTAACTGACCTTTTCTGTAACAGAATACAATAGGGAAGTATATAAGTATTCAAATTCGACTGAAAGTTGTCTTATTCTTATAGAGTACGTTTGCCCTTAGACTATGCAAACTACCACTAATGGATTGATGAGATATTCTGAGGATGCAGATGCCGACAGAAGTTGTGTATCGGAACCCTAACTTGATTCATTTAACCACATGCTTTCACAGCTGCCCAGTATTCAAGCCATAAAAGAGAGAAGCGCATTAATTTGTTTTGGCCGGTATAAGTAAGTAATCAGAGCTTCAGTTCTCTACTATTCCTTTGAGGTCCTGTAATAGACCAATCAAACGATATATCAAGCTAGAGGCTTGACCCATTCCAGCAAACACCGTACCTAACATCTTCAGTCTGACTGAAAAGACCCAATTTTGGGTGTTTTTATTGTAAGGCTAAAGTTGTAATCTTCCTGAGCCATAAGATACAGCTGTGTGATTGAAGAAAGACCAAGATATTCTTGTTACCACTGTCAACGTGTAAAACATAAGGCCCGGGTTGTCCGAAGGGTGGATGACGCTCTCCAGTGGATAAATCTCTATCCGCTAGATAGTACGTTTTGGTAACACTTATCGGCTTGATAGCGTCATCCACTCTTTGAAAAATCGGGTCTAGACTTGTAACCAAGCGATACTAGTTAAAAGTAGACCTGTGAGGAACACACAATTTACAGAATACTGACCTCAAAACAAACAATGTTGATAGGAAATTCATTTGAAATACAGTCGAATCTGTATTCAGCGGTCACTTAGATTGGGAAGGCTCTGCGCCATACGCATATGGTGCAAAATAGTAATGGCTTATCAAAAATCTACCCACGGGGTTTAAAATACGCCAGGGCCATGGCGAGTGAAAATATAATTTGCGACTAAAATTTCGACAAAAGTTGTCAATTGACGACAACCAGATAAAAAAAAAAAATAAAATAAAAATAAATAAATAAACCTGATATTACAAAAATGAACAAACGCCTTTCTCCTGTCTTTCTCTTTTGCCCTTCCATAACTCCCAGAATTTGAAACACCTATGATGAGCGGTGATCAAGTCGAACTTATTTCGTTGAGATGAACTTCATTTTATATTACGTGAAGCATTGTAGTCTAGCTATTACATTTGCATTTAGAAGTATGGTTACTAACTGTCAAGTGATTTAAGACATTTTCAACATGGAAGTATTCAATACTAATATTTCAGCTCACTTCAAGGAAAAGACGTTTCTCATGTGAGTAATAGACCAAAATCCTAATCAAAATAATGTAGTAGACCGTTTCTGCTATCAAAAACCAGAATCTCTTCGTCCTCTTTCTCTTCGGTGTTTCGGGACATCTTCGCTCGTTCAACGCTTGCTGACGATCTCTTCGGATCTCTTCGAATGGTACTCGGAATTAACAAGAGATCATGCGGTTTCCCGATGCTACATAGAAACTACTTTAGCAAATAATCAGCATTTAAGCATCACAATTATTTCAGGATGGCGTTTGAAAAAACAAAGCTTTACCTTGCAGAAATGTCTTAAAAAGTGTACCTCGCGGAAACTTATGAGAAAACTTTCTTCTCTGGAGAGTATTCTACCTTTCGAATCAGCGAATTATGCCCAGTAGATCCGAAGATGTAAATTTTATCAGTTCTTGCCGTAACACCGCAAAATAAGTTCACAGTGGCGTCTCCGGCACAAAATTGCAAAAAGACTTTTCCTCGGAAGAAATGACTAAATGGATTTGATCTGCACATCGTGGAAACTTTGACGAAAAATTTATTCCTTCGAAAAGAGAACACTTCACCATTTCAATCGGCGACAAATGCTCAAAAGTGCCGGCAAATTTGCTAAGCGAACAAGGTCCGAAATACGATACCTTGACTTTACCCTGATTCTTACCT